CCGGACATGATGGATGACTGTTGGCTTTCGTATAAGTTACCGGCCAGTACCATTCCGGCAGATGAAGTGGAGAGGAAACAACTACCGGAAACAATTCTGGATAATACCCTTTGGGCTAAGACCGCAGTTGATTTTTATCTACATGATAATACCCTTTGGCCAGTACCACAACGCGATTTTTATTTTCGCATTGCGATTCAATCGTTGCGATTTTCATTTCGCATTGCGATTCTCTCGTTGCGATAGTCATTTCCGCGTTGCGATAGTCAATTCCGCGTTGCAATAGTCATTTCCGTGTTGCGATAGTCATATTCGCGTTGCGATAGTCAAATGAATGTCTAATAAGTGATAACAACTGAACATATCATAGTAATGTTCAAACTCAAGTTACTAATACATGCCTAACTGAAAATGTTAAAAGTTCACACATAATATACATATAATACAACGTTTGCATTTAAAAATCACCTAAGTTAACAGTCCCAAAAGGTGAAGCCGGTTGTGATTGGGATTTTGATGAGGATCCATATTTTGGTAGAGGAAAAGATGATTGTGATGGCACTGGTGATCCACATGTCAACCTTGTATGACCACTTTCCTTGCACCGACTACATGTCGATCTCTTCTTCTCTTCACCCTTAGACGGTATACGATCGTGACTTTTTGGTCAGCCAGGTAGCCTTCTATCCATGGCTGGTGGCAAAACTGTTTATAAGTCATCTGGTATGTCCCACTCAGAAGGATGTGGAATAGGGTAGACAATCTCGCCATAAGTCTGTCGATATACTTCTGTAGTGTAGCAATCCATAGCGTATACGCTTGAATCATCTTGGTTTAGATGAAGAGAAACTTTTATAACATGGCCACATGGATAACCAGATGTTTGTCATTTCATACAACTACACGTCTTTGCATTTAGATCGACAAGCCCATTTAAGTTATTATCCAGTACTTCAAACAAAGTGTTTGAACATGGTTCAACTCTCCATGACGTTGACTTCACAACACGTTTCGTTATCTTTTTTTCTGTCCATGGTGTAACACGATGTTCCAATGTTCCTGTAAATTTAAATAAATAATACTTAGTAAAATATATGATAAGTTACGAATTTAAAGAAATAATACATGCATGGTTTCTTTTCTTGTAGTACCACTGTTGAATAGAGGCTAAAAAAAACTCGATTAACATAGTAATGGGTAATTTCCGGGAATGACGACTTAGAGCGTTGATTGATTCTGCACTATTAGACGTCATGAAACCATATCTTGCTCCAAGTTGATGTACTCTTGACCATCTTTCAAACCCGACATCTTCTAGTATTTGAGCACACTGAGGCAAAACACATCTTAAACAGCTTATATGCTTATTAAAATCCACTTCCCGATAAGCTTTTACAGCCTTCCAGTATGTCCATTTGTGATTTTTTATACCAGCAGACCTTGATTTTAGATTTCTATACAAATGAACACCACAAAGTTCATGAAAAACATCTGGGAAACACCTTTTAACAGCGTTGTCAATTGAGTTTGCCCTATCAGATATGATTATCAGATTGCTAATAGGACCTATGCAATCCCTAAGATGCCCCATAAACCATGTCCATGAATCAGAGGTTTCAGATTTGCCAACCCCGTAAGTTATTGGCAGTATCCCATTGTTAGCATCCATGGCTACTGCTAATAAGTTTACTCCAAGGTATCAACCTTTTAAATGTGCTCCGTCAACTATAATAATTGGACGCATGCAATTAATAAACGAACGAATCTACAAAATCATATACACAAGAAATATAATCATTTAAATGTGAAATGCATGTAACTAACAAAAATGAGTCAACAAAATTATATTGATTTACTAACCGCAGCACCAATGGCGATAAACAGCAACTCAAAGCGTCCATCTCTATCTGTTTTGATATGAGTTACCGACCCAGGATTTTTCAGCTTTAAATTGTGACAATAAGCCGGCAGTTGGGCAAACGATGCTTCTGGCGACCCCCTCAACAATTCCAAGGCATAACATTTGGCTCTCCAAGCTTGAGAATATGAGATACTAATCTTGAACCGAGCATTCATGTCAGTCATAATTTCATGTCCCCGATATACCCTGCCATTAAAAAACATTAACTCAGCCAGAAAATCACCCAACACCTTTTTGTTTGCCTGTCTATGGTGAGGAAAAACTTGGGTTCTTGAACATGTATGTTTATCAATAAAAGTCCTAACTTGAAACATTTCGCAATATTTTATCCTCTTTGCATTCATACGCCACGTACAGTTTTTGTCAATCATACACCTTGTTTTGAAACGATCTTTGCTTGATTTGTTAACTTTTAGTTGATAGCCATCTTCCACACATTTCGTATACAAAGCTATCTTCAAGTCTTCCTTTGTATCAAAACAATCATCTTTCTTGATACGAATAATTTTTGTGTAACAATCAACTGCTATCTTTACCAACTCTTCTTCTGGTATCTTAAGTAATTCTGGCATATTCCAGTTATACTCCCGTGGCATTTTCTTCGGGGACTTTTCTTTGGGGATTTCTTCTTCTTCTTTTTCTTCTTCAGTGTTATATGAATTATAGAATAGATGTTCAACATGTTCATTTACAGTCGTAACTTCCTCCTCATTATCATCAACAACATCTTCCTCGGCAACGGCTGTTTCATCATCAAAATTCGGGTATTGACCAATATCAAAATCATTACACGCATGGTCTGTTTCTTCTTCTGAAAAATCATCAAAATCCGAGTATTGACCAAGATCAAAGTCCGGGTATTGACCAAGATCAAATTTCGAATACTGACTAGTACTCACAATTTTTTCTGTTGGCTCATCATCGTCTAACTAGTCAATACGAAAATCGGAATTTGGTGCTGAAAGTTGATTGGGATTTGGATTAGGGAAAGATTGTGGGTTTTGAGATTGTGTTTGGTATTGGAAATGTGGTGAAACAATATTTTCTTTGTGATGAAATTGTGGTGGAACCATTAAATTTTGAGCACCATAAACTGGGGTTGAAAAACTTAGTTGATTACTACCCGCTACTGACCCAACTTCACTACTTCTAGGTTCAACAACATACAATGTAACATCATCACTTGAAACACTAATGTAAGCAATGAATCGTTCAACATCTTCATTGTCGGTTAACAAATAAACTTTACCATTTCTCTAATAAGATAGCCTAAATCCACTTAGGGGCTCTAAATTTAATTTATTTGCAACACGTAACATTAGAGTTTCATAAGTTAACTTTTTTAATGACAGTTTTAGTTGAAGATTCATGGGTAAAGGCATATATTGTAAAACACCATGAACATTCTCCCATGACCCTCCAAAACACAAATCTATCCAAACATGATCAACATTAGATGATTTCATTATTATAAATTAATTTACTAAACAAACGAGCTGCGAAACTAAAACTTGTTGCCGGATGGGGAAGGATGTCGTTGGATATAGGAACGGATGTCGCCGGAGAGAGTGATAGATGGAGATGGAATGAGTTGCGATTTAGGGATTTAGGTTATGAGTTTCTGCTGCTGCGTAGTTATATACCCAAAATATTTGTGTTGCGAAACTAAAACCTGTTGCGAATTCAAAAATCGAGTTGCGAATTTGAAATTCAGTATTGCGATAGTCAGAATCTCGTTGCGATTTACAGATTCGCATTGCGATTTATGTATTCGCATTGCGATTTACGTATTCGCATTGCGATTTACGTATTCGCATTGCGATTTACGTATTCGCATTGCGATTTACGTATTCGCATTGCGATTTACGTAATCGCATTGCAATTTTCCAAATTCGCGTTGCGATTTACGTATTCGCATTGCGAATTCGGAAAATCGCAACGCGAATTTGGGAAATCGCAATGCGATAGTCAGAATCGCGTTGCGAATCTGGAAACTGATTTGCGATACCGGAGATCGCGTTGCGAATTATCGATCGCATTGCGATTTAGTTGGTCATTTTGGCAAATCCAAAAAAAGTTGGTTAAAATCGTATATTATAAGACATTCTTGGTCACTGAGGTTATTTTATCTTATTTAAATGTTTCAACAAAGTACTTACCTTTAACATTTAATAGAGTAGATGATGTGACAGTTAAAATATTTTTATATAATTACATAATTGGTCCCTGATACTTATATTTTTTTTTCAATTTAGTCTTAATTTTAATAAATTTAATTCTCAAATCAGAATGTGCTATTTGTCATTGATGGCAAGCCACCTAATTATACCAGAATGTTTTAACTGTCATGTCACCTGTTCTGTTAAATGCTAATACTATATGGTTTGACTAAAGTATTTAAATAATTGAATAATCTGATTGATTAAATTAAAACATTCATTAGTTAAAATGAAAATGAAAAACAGTTAAGTAGCCAATGGTATAATTTATCCAGAAAAAACTCAGCAAGATGAACTTGGACAAAAAGGGTACTGCCAAAGTGCCACACGTGAAATGGCAGTGGCGCGTGAGTGAGCGACACGTCGACGTGTTGTGGTGGCGTTAAATTTCTTTTCAGTTGGTGGCGGTTAGGGAGGTTAAAAACATTTAAACGTGGTTAAGTTATTTAAAAAAGGGTAAACTCATTAATTGGTCACCCTACTTAAGCTTTGTGTTAAAAATATTTAACTATTATGTTTTTGATTCTATTTAAAAAATTAATGATGATGTTGATGTGATGTTTTTAAATTATTTTTCAATGTTAACATGGTATTACCTTAGGGTGACATGTTAGTATAACTATTATTTTTTTAACAATAGACGACCAAACCTAATATTAAAAATGATTTTAAAAAATAACAGTGAAATGACCAAAAGAGAAACTAGTGAATAGATGGGTGACCAAATAGTTAGTTTAGCCTCTGAAATTTTGGTTAATTTGACTTAACGAAGGTTTAACGGTGTTCTTTACGATCCAACGTGTTCTGTGTGTCTTCCCCTATAAAAGAGACAGCGCCATTGGAGTTTTTTCAATTTCTTCCAAACAGTTGAATTTGAAAGCATTAGGAATTATAGCATACAGAGAAGAGAAAGAGAGAATCAGAAATGGGGATTTCTCACAGGTTCATCTCTTCGTTTACATTGCTACTCATAATGTTGTCCGTTTGTGTCAGTGCCTCAGAAGAGAAAACAGAGCTGAACTCCAGGTACATTTCCCACTTTCCCGGGAAACAAACATGCTCCTGTTCATCATCATTTAGCTATTCCAGTAACATTCCTTCATCGTGTTCGTCATGTGCAGGCTTGTTGAAGATAACAAATTGCAGGGCTTGAAGAACTCATCAATGGCAGACGGGTAAGTAAAATATTTCTTTATTCACGCCAAAACCAATGAATCCGGGAAATTTTATGATTACAAGCCATGGAAGATTGGATCTTATAGATCATGTTATCTACTCTTTGAAAGTCGATTGCATTATATGGATTTGTTTTTCAGGTTGGATGATGAGAAATGGAGAAACGAGCATGCGGTGGACAATCGTGAGGAAATTGCTTCAATGGTTGATATGTGAGTCTCTTCATCATTCCAACAACAGATTGGATCATCTCAACTTCAGCATAATTAGTTAATTCACGAATATAATAAAAAGCTTTGGGATTCCATTAACAGTGATCGGTCTAATAGTTACTTCTTTGAACAAAAATAAGAGGATTGATTCCACATGAAAAGTCCCCTAACTGGAGCCCCCACTTGCAAAGATCTCTAGTTTGTGACAAAGGTTCCTTTTCACCCGTCTGTCTTCTCTGCTTATTTTTCTTACTAGGCTACTCAAAATTATGAAATGATCCTATTGTCTTTTCTTTTATTTTTTTGACACTACAGTTGTATTTATAATTTAAAATCATAATTATTTTTAAAAATCAAATCACGTCGTAACTGCAATTTAATACTATTATAATTTCGATACTAAAAAATTGAGTGTAAACTCTTGAGATAATTTTATGTTTTGGCATATATTTTACTGTTTAGGCTCGTAATTCGTGGCTGTAGCATGTAGAAAAATTTAAATATTTAAGTTTTTTTTAAATTTAATTATAAATATTTATAATGTTATTGATATTATTTTATTATAATTTAAATAATTTTAAATAACCTATGCGAATATATATATATATATATACTTTTTCATATTTTTTCATATTCGACATATATATCATGTAAAGTTGATATATTCGATTAGATCTTGAAAACTATTCATCAATTATTAAAAAAATTTGAGTATAACTTACTCAAATTTAAATCTTTTTAGTGAAATTAAGTTCATCAAATTACAAATAGAATTAAATGGAAAAAAATCAATATTTTGAGACGAGTAGAATTTTGTTAATCCTGGCAATGAGTTCACAACTCATAGATCTGCATCTGCCTTTTCAGTGCGCGCAGAAGAGAAAATGGCTATATTCTTGTATTCAGACACCAGGATCATTCATATTTAATATTGTATATACGATGATTAGGATGCTATAATCATGGGATTTTTCTGGGATTTTTCAGGAGCATAAGAAATAGTACGGAGCGGAGAAACTTGGGATATTTCTCGTGTGGAACAGGGAATCCGATCGATGACTGTTGGCGGTGCGACAGGCTATGGTACCGTAGGCGAAGACGCCTAGCAAACTGTGGCATCGGGTTCGGACGCAATGCCATTGGTGGTCGTGATGGAAGGTACTATGTTGTGAGTGACCCCGGTGACGATAACCCTGTGAACCCCAAACCAGGCACCCTCCGCCATGCCGTTATCCAAGACCGGCCTCTATGGATCGTGTTCAAGCGTGACATGGTGATCACATTGAAGCAAGAGCTGATAATGAACAGTTTTAAGACGATCGACGCTCGCGGAGTCAACGTGCATATCACTTACGGGGCATGCATCACCATCCAGTTCGTCACCAACATTATCATCCACGGACTCCACATTCATGACTGCAAGCCCACAGGGAATGCCATGGTTCGAAGCTCCCCGTCTCATTACGGATGGAGGACCATGGCCGATGGGGATGGCATTTCGATTTTTGGAGCCAGTCATATCTGGATCGACCACAACTCACTGTCTAATTGTGCTGATGGACTTATCGACGCAATAATGGGATCCACGGCGATTACAATCTCAAACAACTACTTCACCCATCACAATGAGGTTATGCTGTTGGGACATAGTGATTCTTATGTAAGAGACAAGCAGATGCAAGTCACCATTGCTTATAATCACTTCGGTGAGGGCCTGATCCAGCGCATGCCGAGGTAAGAGCATGGTGATGCCTACTGTAATCTCTGCTTTTCATTCTTCATAAAATCGACTCGAATCATCTTTACTGGAATCTTGCAGGTGTCGACATGGATATTTCCATGTAGTGAACAATGACTATACACACTGGGAAATGTACGCCATCGGCGGAAGTGCCGATCCCACCATTAACAGCCAAGGCAACCGTTTCCTTGCCCCTAATAACCCCTTCGCCAAGGAGGTAAATTTAGATTCTCAAAACCAACGAAATGTCACCCCCATTTTAGAAGTGGTAAATCATGCTGACTGATTGTGTTAAATTCGATATCGTTTAGGTTACGAAGAGAGAAGTCGCATGGAATGGTGAATGGAAGCATTGGAATTGGAGGTCAGAAGGAGATTTGTTCTTAAATGGAGCGTATTTCACTCCGTCAGGTGCTGCAGCCGCCACCAGCTATGCCAGGGCCTCGAGCTTAGGTGCGAAATCGTCTTCCTTGGTCGGCATGATTACTTCAAAGGCAGGCGCCCTTCCCTGCCGCAATGGCCGCATGTGTTAATTCTTATCACCCCAACCGAAAATCCAAGCAAAAGTAGATGAAAAACTATTCATTTTTCTTCCCATATATATATATATATATATATATATATATATATATATATATATATATATATATCGTTCCATATAGTACGTAGTGTTCCCTATAAATTTCTGCTTAATCCTCTTGACAAGTGTACTTTATCTCACTTGTCATAAAATGCCATTGATCGACCTCGGCCTCGTTAAGTTGCCATAGTGTTGTTCATTTCGATGTTGCTCGTCTTTGTAATTATGCATTTCCTTTAAACAGTTTCCCATGTTCCACCCTTTGGCCCTTGTATACTTTGATTAATCAACTTTTTAAGAAAAAAAAACATTGGATTATGCAAGTTTAATGTTTCAAATTGTTGCTTACTTTTAATACACATTGGATCATGCAATCAAATCAAAGCCGAGCCCCATCACTCGCCGGTTTTGAGATTCGGACTAAAAAGAACCAACACAGAGACTTTAGGAGATCCAGTATAAGCTTTCTCAAGAAACATTAGATCATTAATCATTCACTATCACTTCCTGCTAGATAAGCAGATATTAATACCAGTAAGGCAAATAAAAGGTGATAATTTGATGAAAAATACTTAAACAGAGCTCAAAATGGGGTGCCAACTTCACTCCTTGTTTCTGTGGGGCTATATAGAGCTGATCTGTTCCTTGGTCTGTTTTCTTCAAGCTGCTTCACAACTTCATCCATGGAGGGTCTCACCGAAGTTACTGGAGCACAGCATCCCATTGCAAGCTTTAGTGCCTGAACTAATCCGTCTTCCATAGGACTCCGGATACCTTTCAACACTTCTACGTCGAAAACCTCCATTGTCGTCTCTTCCAAAACTGCTGCTTTCACAATCGAGGGCAAATCCCCAGCATCATGGCCTCTCCCATTTTTCCCGGGCTTCTTGCCTATCAAAATCTCCAATAACAGTATCCCGAATGCATAAACATCTGTTCTGCTGTTGCATTTCTTCATACTTTGAAGTTCTGGTGCCTTGTAACCTTCGGTCTTTGCAACGGCCACCATTTCATCAGCTACAGCCGGGATCATTAGCTTGTCGAGTCCATACTCAGTCAGCCTGGCCACAAAGAAGTCATCTACAAGCACATTTTTGGACCGAACATTCCCATGGGTGATCGGCGTCTCGACACCTGTATGAAGATGTGCTAATCCTTTGGCTATGCCCAATGCAATCTTGTGCCGCCGAGCCCAGTTCAGAAATGGCTTTCCTGCTCTTGATTCTGCATTTAGTCACAAACGGACACTAAGAATTCGATGAATTTGCAATCAATCACCAATTACTTCACAAGCAGAAAATATTCAAGATACTTACCAATGAATTCATCTAGTGATAACACAATTTAATTCAACGCTTTACAGATAAAGTTTATACCGATATCGAATGACATAAATAGCTTTTGAAACCTCAAACAAAGCTGAACATATACATACCATGTAAAAAGTCATGTAGGCTTCTATTTGGCAGATAGTCATAAATAAGAAGCTTCTCCCCTCTCTTCCCCTGATAGAAAGCTCTCAGTGGAACCAAATTCTCATGTCTAATCTTTCCAAGCTGTCTTATAACTGGCAGACACGAACTCCGGTTCTTGCAACTGACTTCACTCAGCAACCTCAATGCTATATTTCCACCATCAGCAAGCTTTGCCTTATAAACAGTTCCATAATTCGTCTTCTCCATGACTTGGCCAGTTGCATTCAGTACATCCTCTAACGTCAAAAGCTCGCCGCCTTGGAACAAAATAAGCTTGCTCTCTGCGGTAACTCCCCCGACGCCGACATCATCTTCAGTTTCCTCGCCTTCCTCGCCTTCCTCTTCACTATCTCCACCACTGCTCCTCTTCCTGTTTTGCATATAGCCAATGAACAATGATGCCAAGAGTACTACTCCACTCATTAGACCGATCACGATGCCGGCAATTGCACCCGGACTCAGTTGTGACCCGTCACTACAACTATTTAAAGGCAATCCACATAGCCCTGGATTGTTCCCTTCAAAAGCCTCCGGACCAAACTTTCTTTGAGCAAAAACAGGCAACATCCCAGTGAAGTTATTGTGGGAAAGGTCCAACTTTTCAAGGCTTAAAGTGGCTAAACTCTCTGGAATTTGACCAGAAAGCATGTTACCCGAAAGATCAAGCTCTTTAAGAGCTTTAAACCTAGTAATGAACTCTGGGAAAACCCCAAAAAACTTGTTGCTACCCAAATCAAGGGACTGGAGATTCTTACAGGTGGAACTTGGTAATGCTGGTTCAGGGACAGAACCAGATAATGAATTGCCATGAACTTTAAGAGAAACAAGTCTATCACACAAGTTCCATATTGATGGACCTAAAGCCTCACTGAGCAAGTTGTTACTCAGATCAACATCAGATAATGAGGAGCTGTAACCAAGCTCAAGAGGGATAGTCCCACTCAGTGAGTTGAAGTTAAGGTAAAGGCTTTGAAGCAAAGAGAATTCACCAAGCTCTCTAGGCAAAGAACCAGTGAGATTAGCAGAGGGGAGCTGAAGTGAAACAAGGTGCAAAGATGTGTCCTTGGAAAGAGAGAGATTAGTCCATTGTGGTGAAGAAAGGGCAGTGCAAGAAAGAGGAGTCCCATTGGAGAAGACCCATTTAAGCCCTCTCCATTGGCAAAGTGGAACAGAAGAGTTCCATGAAGATAACAGTAAGTTCTCAGTGTTACCTTGTAATGAAGCTTTGATCTTTCCCAAGAGAAGCACAACATCTGGTGAAGAAGAAGAAGAAGCTAATGAATCATTGTGTGTTGAAGATAGGCCTTTGGTCAAGACAAAGGAGAAGAAAAAGATGAAAATGCAAAGATAGTAAAGTTTGAACAACTCCATGAAGTACCACAGAGAGAGCAAAAGAAGGAGGTGCAATGCAAATATTAATGTTGTTTAGTGGAGTTTTCAATGTGGAAACAAGAGTTTTCTTTTTGGGAAAGTTCGGGTATGTAGGTACGGCGATATTAATATATAGATAAAAAAATATTAAAAAAATATTATTAAAAATATTAATATTTTTATTAAAATATTATCTAAAATATTATTTTTTACTAAAAATATTAATATTAGACGCTATCTAAAATATTTAACAATTTTAATAAATTGATATCTAAAATATTATTTTTTTAAAAAAAATATTAATACTGAGTAATATTTAAAATATTATTTTTCTATTAAAAATTATGTAGTGAAATTAATATTTCCAGTAAAAACATAATGTTTAAGGTAATATTTTATAAAAAAAAATGTTAAAAAATATTAATATTTTCGATAATTTTTTTTTTAATCTTATATTAAGGCTACTGTAAAATCACAACTACACGAAGTTGAGAGAGTATTTGAATATAAATAAACGGTCATGATTCCGCTGCCATTAAAATACATTTTTCTTTCTATTTAAGGAGTATGAGGTACAGCTGAATCTCATAAACAAAAACAAGAGTAACCTACATTTCTTAATCTTCATTTTGCACTTTTTAAGACCCAAGGGGAAGTTTTCAATGCATAACGCTGAACACCACTAAATGTCCTTTCTTTCTAGATGTAGTATCCATGGCAGGTCCAATTGTTTACTTTTTCTTTTAAATACATGCTTATTTCATGTATTTTTTGGAAAAAAAACTAATATAATTTTTGTATTATTTTTTAATATTATCTTTCAACTTAAAAAATAAATCTAATATAATTCTATGATTAATGTTTTTTGTCGTTGACAGTTATGATATTGATGTGACAGTTCACAATATTAACATAATAGTCTAGGGTGACAGATTAACGTGACGGAAGACATGACAAATAGACTAAATTGATAACTTGAACATTTGATAGACTGTCATGTCATCATTGTGGAATGTCACGTAAGTACCATAAACTGACACATCCATACTATAACGATCAACGATAAAAAATATTGATCAAAATGACACATTAAATTTATTTTTTAAATTAAAAAATCACGTTAAAAAATAGGAAGGGGTAACATTAGTTTTTTTCCTTTTTGCCCAAGTATGTGGGGTGAGCCTTTATATGATTGCTTGTGGGTCACATAGCAGAAGCATGGCATAAGAGAAAGGCCCAGTAGGAGTTTAATAATACTAATTTGTTGCAGTGGACTAATATAGCTTAAAAAAATACTTTTGAGAGTATACTACGAATCTCAAACATGATTTCAAAGAATTATATTTTATGTCTTAATTTAGTAACTATATATATTTTTTGAAAAATTGCATCTTTTTTGTAATTTTTTTGTTTATTTGAAGTTTTTAAATTTTTTAAAATTTTATATTATCTTACGTACGATCATCGACAGACTCATATAATCTATCATAATTAAATTAATAATTTAACAAATATATCTATTTATCATATCAGTCTACAAATAATTATCATCATCCTAAACTTCTAACAACCAACATTAAAAATCAAAATATAAAGTAGCATATAAGATTAAATAAAAAGATGAACTTTTACATTGAATGATGTATGTTTTCCTTTTCTTCAAACGTTATACAAGTAATTGAAGATTCTTTTCCTTTTACATTGAATGGTGCCTTCGACAATGTCTTTTAGAAATAAAATCCAATAAAAGAAGGGAAATGGAAGAGAAAGTAGGCTTTCTTTTTAATGGTGTTACCATGCAAAAATAGGCAGTTTTATTTGAAGGTGGAAGCATTCCACTATTCAATTTCACGCCAACCCCTTAAACCATCATTGATTTTATTCCTCGCTATCTTCATCTATCATCAATCTTTGACCTTTGCATTCTCTTGCAATATCAATGAAACGAATGCCTTCCGACCAAATATTTTAATGCCTATCGAAGTATTCTTTTTAATTACAGCCGAAAATGGTATATGAAAGTGGAATTCGGTCATTTTTCTATTGGAATATTATTTCAAACCTTCCATTATTCCTCAAATTATAGTTTTCTTTTTCATTATAACTGAAACATGTGTTTTTAGAACATATATTATTTCATAATCATCTTAATTTAATATAAAAATACATGTTTTTTTAATGAATGTAGAGAGATCTAGGTAATTTTATGAGAATAATATTATTTTATAATTGTTTATGTAAATAATATTTTTAAAAATAATTTTTGATATAGAGATGTGTCGCATAAATTGTACTTTTCAATAGGTTAAAAATATTTAAAAAATTATACAATTAAAAAAAACATACAGGGTGCGTGTCACATACATATTTGAACACAAGTCAACTAGATAACAATAGTAAAAACAACAATAGTATAAATGAGTATAAATCTTATCTTCAATCATTTAGTTAGTATATGTTTAGAAAGTTGTATTTAAACACTTGAAAAAAAAACTCATCTACATAATATGATATTTGAGAAGCTTATGGTCAAACTCTTTGATTTTGAGTTGTCAAAAATATGTCTTGAACCAGACTCATATTAATACAACAGTCAAAACAATTGTTATTCTTTGAAGTATTTGAGATCCTATTATCTAAAATTATCTGACTATAATACCTATATGAGTCTATTAATTACATATTATAGTTTTAGATTACAATAACATATAGAGTTAATTGCATCATGTGTCCCCAAACTATGACACTCATTTAAAATTAGTCTTTAAATTTTTAAACATTTCAATTTTATCTCCAAAATAGGACTTTCATTCTAAATTAGTCCTTAAACTTTTAAACATTCCAATTTCATCCTCAAACTATTAATCTCATTCTAAATTAGTCCCTAAACTTTTAGATCTTTCAATTTCATCCATAAATTCATCAAAAATATGTAATCCATTTCAACCTTAGTTTAACCTAATTTTTTTTCAAACATAAAATAATATAAATTGGCCTAATGATTTTATAAACTATATTAAAGTATTCAAGTCACATATATGTGAACCCACTGAGTGATCTTAGTAGTTAAAGGGAATATTGTTTTCTCCAGGGCGGAGCTAGAGAAATTATTTTGAATTGTCAAATTTAAACAAAATTTATTTTGGGTGTCAAATTTAGAAATCGTATAAAGATTTTTTTTCAAGTGGATAGAAATGATTAATGAGTGTAAATTTATGTTTAAGGATGTCAATATTATTTTAAAAACATTTTTGTATTAAATTTATAAAAAAAACATTTTCCCAAACAAACTTGACACTCCTAATTATATGATGGTTTCATAAGTGGTTTTTCTTTGAGGTTTCGAGTTCGAACAGTTGTATTTGCAAGGTGTGTATGTGTTGTCAATATTTAAAAGAGATTATGAATATATACTACCTTATAATAATTATTAAAAAAACTCATATATGTAATCATTTACTTAGGATTAAAGTAAATACACCATGAACATCATAATTGAATTAATTTATAAATAGATTTAAAATTAAATCACTTGGGTTCATTATATCGTATTCTCAATCCAATTTAACACATCTATGTCAATTTAAAAGTAAATTTTACTTGATTTAGGGTTTCTCTTTTTCTCTAACCTAAGTTTTCTCTAAATATTTTTGTGACGCCTTCATGTTTTCTTTTATTTTTGTTTAGTCGGCGACGACATCAATCTTAATATTAGTTGTCAACAGCCAGTGATTATTATTTTTCTTGTTCTTTTCATACTATGCACTTTGTTTTTTTGTTTTCTTTCCTTGAGTTTTTTCAATTTTAAATAAGTATCTTTGTCCTCGTGACACACTTTCCTCTGCTCTTGTATTGTACTTTTTCTCCGCTACTGTGGTATTTTCCTTATTGCTTTTGGGAAGTTTTTCACATACTTCTACGATTGTGCTGGTGCTTGCACAAAGATTGTAACTCCCCAAATTTTCGGCTAGTATTTTCTAGTTTACCCGAGAGGTATGTGACCCTTGTGGAGTTCATAATTAAAGTTGTTGGATCAAGTTAGGCTTAATTGGCTTGGAATTGGGCCCAATTAGCAATAAAAAGGGAGTTTTTAAATAGTAAAAATATAAGGAATGACCAAATGTGCAATTTCACCTTTTAAAAAAATTAGAACTTTTATATCTCATTTCATCTTTTTCTCTTCATTTTGTCCTTCCTATTTCTTTCTCCTTCATATTCTCCAAGTACCATAGCTAAAAGTAAGTCATTTGAGTCATTTCATACTTTTTTACGCTATAAATTTGTTCATAATTCCTGCAACAACCTTGTTTTAAAGATTCAAGCTTTGGTTTCTTATTTTACTAGAGGAAGTAAGGGTTTTATCATCCAAGTCCTAGAGTAGAGTGTCGGTTGGCTAAAGAAGCTTCATTTCGGGTTTCTAACATTAAGGTAACGTATTTCTAATCCTTTGTGGTGTTAAGGCTTTTGTAAGCATGAAGTTTTGTTAAGATTTGAGTATTTGAGCATTTTAAGGTTTATGCTTAATTTTATGATTAGATGATGTTTTTGATGTAAAGAATGTGTTTTGTGGTACTTTATGACACTAAATAACTTTCTTTAGCTTTAACGGATGTTTTAGGATCAAACTAAGACCTTTGGCAAGATTTTAGGTGATTCATGAGCTTATTTATGGGTTTTATGGGTTGTAGTATCGATATTGTTCTTACACTATCTATACTATGAGTATCGATACTGTGAGTACCAATCTATGATTACAGTGCCAATACTATCAAAATACCAAATGATTCAAAACATCACTCGTTGTATCCAAATATCTCTAGATTGTTATAACATATACATTAGTAAAAAGAGGATGTATAAGTTGTCCCTCCAATTCAAGGGGTATTGAGGAGAATTACGATAAAAGCGATCAGAGTGTCACTACTCAATAATGAACCAGAGTTAGGTGACAGGCTAGCAAATAATACAACAAGTGAACAACAAAATCAATAATCGTCGTTAAATCATGAAACACATAGAGATCTCCTTAGAGACATAAATGACTAAAATAACCTTA